GTTTCTTCGTATACACACATAGCCTTCGTTTCAGTACATCGCATGCAGCTTGGACGCCCACCATCGCACTGTTTGTCCTTGGTCAGTCTTGTAGGGTTCGACGGTAGACCACGAGTCTTTCGGGTCCCATACCCTAGATTTGCGGTCCCGACAACTTCGACAGGCCACAGGAACGCGCATGCGCTTGCTGGATCGGGGGTGGTCGGCCATGGTGGCTGTAATATGTTCACAATGAGGGTGACAGTGGAATCAAATCTTTTGCGAGGGGGCTTGTGTGAAGGGGGGAACAATAGCTCGCTACTTTCCCCAAGGTTGAGCTGACCGATCTTTTCAGTAGGGAAGGTCACTGTGATCTGCGGGGTTTTGAACCTGGGGGGGCAGCATCTACCATCCACCATCCGCTCTCCGCGACTCCGGAAGGCTACGAGCACTCGTACTCGCCCGGCCGGGTCTCGGCTGGGTTCTCGGTCAAAAACTTCGCCGCATTTCATATACCAGCGACCAACAACCCGAAATCACCCCCCACAACCTTCCCACAATCCCCTAGCTCCACAACAGCTAACAGTGCATCGCTCACTTCCCCACTCGGTACTTGGTACGGAGGATTGTACCGAAAATGCCGGTCCCGGTTTTTTCAAAATGACAAGTGTCATGACGTGACCGGGGAAGCTCACCTGGTCTGACAATGAACTATTGGCTTGCAGCCGGAGCACCCAGGGACGAGGCACACATGACCCTCCCTGAGGGCAGACAATGGAATCTCGTTCTTTCCCGGGACCCTTGCCGCTAGTCATTCTAGCGTCATTCTCAAGGTCTGTCATTCTAAGCTAGCTGTCACCACTCGAGGCCGATGCTGGTGTCCACGAATAGGCAGAACGGTTCGGTTGATCTTTCTCTTGGCTTGTTCAGCCGCGATTGGTCGATCGGAAATACTAAAGAAGTGGTCAGTGACAGAACGTAAGTAGCTAGTTCCTCACAGGCTGGTTAATTATTGGAGCTTAATTAACTCATATAAGAACACACTGCCATTCAAGAAGACGCATCTGAGCGCGAAAACAAGGCGAGCGCGGACCCTGCAGAGGACACGTGTCCTTAACGCCGGCTGCAGCCGCACCTTGTGAGCAACGATGAATCGAACCCCAAACAACGCAACCATCACTGTGTCACCAGCAAAGCACGCCCGAGCACCTCGAAGAAAACGCGCACCGGCACCAACCGCCCAGGTTCGTGAAAATAAGACATTACGACGCACGCGCCGAGCGACGCGGGCTGAGAGTTCCCAACCATTCCAATTTCGAGATGTCGAAGACAGCGACGATGAGAATGAGGAGGAAAATGAAAATACCACAACCGACCTGAAGGAACTGCTTCTGCTGGTCAAGGAGCTCAGGAAGACTATTGACCAACAGAGCAGGTCGATCCAAGGGGCCCAGTTCTAGTTGAAGGAGCTGAAGGAAGAACAACAACAAGGAAAGCACAGAACAACGAGCTTAAGGGTGAGATCTGCACACTCCGAGACCATGTCGATAAACTATCGGCATTGCTGTCCTCTACACCGTCGTGGGCATTCATCGCAGCGAAGCGAACCGGGCCAGGGTCAATGCACCAGACACCCAATGTGACCACTGCTGGCACGAACGGTCTCGCAAGACATCTTCCCAGCCAATTGGTCATAGCAGATACGCTCCACTGCACAATCGACACCTCCCGGGTGGTATCATAGGACGTTGACAAGACCTCACCAGGCGCCATCCGGGCAACCGTGGAAAAGGAGGTCCGCTCCAGTAGTGGACAAAGAGTTGGCGCTGCCTCGCAGTCACCAGAGATGTGAAAACCACGAGCCGCATCAGAATCGTGTGCAGAGACGAAAGTGAACATGACATGGTCAAATTGGCAGTAGGGACGAAGGCGGCGCCAGGCGTTAGAATACTGAGGGACGAACTCTACCCGATCAAGGTGGACAATGTCAACCGGTTAGCAGTTTTGAACGAACATGGAGACATCCGAGCCGGAGCGACGGAGACATTTGGCCAAGAAAATGGAACGACAGTCGCGAAGATAAGATGGCTGAGCAAGAGAACGGCACCCAAGGCATATGGCTCTATGGTAGTATACGTGACGAAGGACAGCGACGCAAGACGCCTCCTGAGGGAAAGTTTCTTTCACGTGGCAGGAGAATCTGGCTACACTGTGATATTCGAACGCCGTCCTTGCCCCGAGCAGTGTCGTTGTTCACTTGCGGAAATACACAAAGGTGCGCGAGATGCGCCGGTGGTGGACATTGCCACAGCGAATGCACCGCGACCGTCGTAAAGTGTGTTCCGTGCGGAGATCCACACGAATCGTTCAGCCGAAACTGCCGAAGACTCTACCCGTCTCATCATGAGTAGAGTGTTCCATATGATGCAGCTGAATGTGAGAAAGCAAGGCGAGATACACGACAGTCTAATGAATGACGAGAAAGTACCAGACATGCCGGTCCTCGCGATCCAGGAACCTCATGCACGGAGGATCCGGAGCATGCTATGGATCAACATAGAGGTGGAGGCGGAGCAGGTGCGGATCGAGTCGCCTGACATGACGGCCGCAGTGGTCAGACTCCCGGATCGGCTGATCCTGGTGGTCGCGGACTACGTACCAGGAAGACGCGCAGGCTCTTCGAGTGACATGTGACAGCCTGCGAAGAGCAGTGAGGGAGGTCAGGAGAAATGCGGGAACAGTGGTGGAGGTAAATGAAAGATGGCGAGAAATTCTTTATTTCTCGAGACCAAATCCGGGACGGGGTGATACCGTAAGGTGGAAAAGAGATTATCGAAATTGCAGCAGGATGGCGGGTGAAAGAAGATGAGGTTGGCATGAAGTCATCGGAACTTGCTAATACAGCAGGTAAGTGTGACAGCCGCACCCTGATCACTGACAGCATCTTGACCACATACTATTCCTATAGCCTACATTTTTTGCAGTGCGCAGAGACCTCCCTACGAGAATCGTTTCGACTTCTTCACTCTCCATGGGCTGACCCCCACTGTTCATTTCCCTGCCTTCCTCGAACATCCAGCTTTCCCTCCGACGGGTGTTGCTCGCCTAGTTGAATATCTCGGAAGGGTCATCATTGCTTTATATGCTGGAATTGGTTGTCCAGAACCGGAGCTCACCTACGCCTTGTCCCATGTCCCTTAGAAAAAGACCAGGTCCTGGAAGAGCCTGTTTGAGTTTGCAGCACAACACGATGACGACGGTCATCTATCCAAAAGCATTCGAGCATTAGCAAATGCGCAGAATGTATCCATACCGTACAATGATAGGCCGGAATTTCGGCTCAAGCAAGATATGTTTTTGCTACTTGCCCGTTCTCTGGTTGATAGCGGGAGCGCTCAGCCCATGATTGAAGGTCATCCACTTGACGGGATCAGCGGGGCAGGATGAGAAGAGGCTTGGGAGGGCGTTCCGAAAAGATAGGGGCGGTAAGCGGCGGCTCACTTAGTAGGTATCGCAGCGTTGGTTTACAGTACCAGTTTCTGGATCCTGCATCTCAACGAGTGGAAACTGCATACGCAGATGAAATGCAGATGCCTCAGTACTGTAAGGTTGAAATTGAAATTGGAATTATGGACTGCTACTGGTACTTCTCGACGAAGGTACTAGACGAGTAGTACGAAAATCCGCCTAAGCATTCTCGACAACGTCCGAATAGTAGTCGAGTACCTGAATAACATAGGGACTTTTATTTGCGCACTCCCTATTACAAGGGTAGAGGAGTACCACCCCCGACAGAATGCCCCTCGAAGCCCACAAGACCGAACTCGGAAACAGGACTCGCCAACCGTTTCCTCTTTCTAAAGTCCGCGCCCGCCGTTCCGAGGATACTAAAATCTTGAATTCCATCCGCGTCCCCGCGTGGACGAAATTTTATCTCGCTCATTTCAGAAATTCGGCGCCTTGCAAAATGCATCCGCTGATATGATTCCGAAGACTCGTATTACTACTACGTAGCAAACTGTTTGGAACCAAAAGCCCTAGTGCCAGGCCATTGTCCAGACACAGCGGCTATCAGCATTTGAATACCGCAGTCTCACACAACAGCCCAATGGCTACACTAACAGCTACTAGTACGCAACCGAGTCATGGAACGCTCTCTGCCGAGGGTGAGTTCTCCTCGCAAGAAGAGACGGCGGCAAAGCAAGAGTTTATGCATGCACCGACATTCAAAGACAAGAACGAAGAACGAAAGTACCTGAAGAACCGTCTCGCTGCAGCATTTCGCATCTTTGGGAAATACGGCTTCGACGAGGGTGTCGCGGGCCACATCACCTGCCGTGACCCAGTTGAACAGAATACTTTCTGGGTCAATTCCATTTGGACTATCATTTTCTCTCATCAAAGCATCGGATCTTATCCAGGTCGACCATGACGGCAACAATCATTGGCGGCGGAGAACATAAACTGTTGAACGTAGCAGCGTTCATGATCCATTCTGCCATCCACGCCGCTCGACCGATGTTATCTGCGCAGCGCATAGTCACAACACCTACGGTCGCTCTTTCTGTGCACTTGGAAAGCCAATCGACTGCATCACTCAGGACATTTGTGCCTTCTACGAGGTAAGTGTTCATCTAGTCTCTGGATGAACCCCTCCGGCCAGACTGGATTGTCTTTGGCTAACAAACGACGTCGATAAGGACCATGTTTTTTACTCATAGTTTAACGGAGTGGTATTGGCAAAAGAAGAGGGAGAAGTCATTGCTCAAGCTCTTGGAAACAAGAAAGCCGCACTCTTGCAGAACCACGGGCTCTTAACCGTCGGAAAGACCATCGAGGAGGCTACCTACTGGTTTCTGAGCTTGGAAAAGTGTTGCCAGGTCCAATTGCTGGCAGATGCTGCGGCGGCAGTGCATGGCGCGGCCACACTTAAGATGAACAAGGCGGATGCCGCATTCAGGCATCGAACTGTCGGGTCTGCTAAGGCCGGCTGGCTCAGCGCAAAGCCACCCTTTGACAAAGTGCATTACGACACTGGGGCTGACTACTGCTGCAATTGATACGGATCCAATAATGGCAGAAACTCTGAACCGAGATTCCCAACTTTCTGCCACGTCTCATTCAATGACGACTCAGTGTGCCTTTACACTGAAGAAATTGCTCGGAGGCCATTGCTCCGCAAGCTGTTTGGCGCATTACTAGTAGCTAGATTGTTTCCACGCCATCGTCCGAGGAAAGTAACTCGCTGCTCGGCATGAGGATCACCGTTTGGCTATCTGTAAATTGCGTTGAGCATTCGTAGAATACTAGCGGACTTACTGTAGAAGTACAAAATGCCGTAAGCTCTGTAAGGTCCTAATTGCCGCCCCAGTTGCGGTATCTTCGGCCCGTCCGTCCTCAAGGGAGTATTGGCCCCTTCCTAAGCTTTCCGGAGTGTATTCGAGAGCTACTGCCCTAAGAGTAAGAAGAGCAATGCTATCAGAGAAGAGAGTCTTGTCGAAGGGCAACTGACACGATACCCATAACAGCTAACATCTGCCGGATCGAAGAGATGGTTCCAAGCAAAGACAAAGAACTTGGATCAGCCGTCATGATGTCACCACGAGGAGAAGCCCTGCAAGCCAAAGATGTTTTGGATATCTGTCCAGCCAACCTCGTTATGGTGTTTAGACAGCCCCACTTCGAACCAGCGATCGTGATGAACTTTATTCCCTTGGGGAAGTAATGTGAGCCTCCAGTACGTTGCGCGTGGCGAGGCCAATTTGCGACATTGCGTCCAAGTTTGTCATGGTACCAATTTGAACAACTGGCTGCAAACACTGAGTCAGCGAGCCGTATGTGGACGTCCAAAGTGTGCTCAGTTTTCAGCAGTCCCCTTGACGGAAATGGTCCTCGCACTGCCATCGATGATCGGAGCTACTAGGGAGAGTGCTATGTGCACAGATTGAGTCTGCGACTGCAAGATAGCGGAGCCATGCGCCGAAACCACGTTTGAGCCAAATCTGCAATTCCGAGTCAATTTTGCGTTACTGGTAGTACCATCCAGGATCCGTAAGGGAAGGAGGCTAACACCTTTCGTGCCGTAGACCTCCATCAGAGCAAAGAACTCGGACACCTTAAACCCAGTGGCGGCGACTAAGAAGTATTCGATAGTCATGAGAAGACCGTATACGAGAAGTAGATTTCCGCGCACCTTCTAGAGGACCATACGAATCTTGCCAAAATGGCAGTACAGCTTCAGACTTGTCCACATATAAAATGATCCGTGTATTGAACCCCTTATTTCCGATGCTAAAGTAATTTTGACTTGCCTTGTCTCAACGATATGATAATCAGAGTCAAAGACTCCAAAACATCAAGGGAGAGATGGAAATTTGCAATGTTGAAGCCGATGTTGGGAACTAATGGTTTTAAAAGTGGAATTTTACGAGCTGCTGGGTCTTGCAAAGATCGATCAGCTTGTTATTATGCACGAAGGGTTTTACTCTATTTACATGACGTATGACCAGCCCGATAGTCCTTCAAGCGGCCTTCACGACGCCGATCGCTCTGGAGTCACTGAACTTATGCATCACTATGGCACTGAGACTGATGAGGGGTGTAAAGTACTCAAATGGAAACGAGAACCTTACATAGGATACGGGCACGTCTCGATACTGGTGGAGAATGTTGAGGCACTCTGCCAGAAACTAAAAGGAGGTCGGTGTCTCATCCCTGAGACTTCCCGGCGATGCCCAGCACTGACAAATAGCAACAATCTCCGACGCCTATGGATACTGCGTCCGATTGGTCAGCAAATTTACCCAATTCCAGCAAAATGGATGTAGAGTACATTAAAATATGCTGAGAATCAAGGACCCTGTCTCCAGCTTGGAATTCTGTCAAGAGGTACTGGCAATGGTCTTGGTTGACACCGAGAACAATTAGAAGATGAGTCCACCAACTACATTCTTGGTTATGAGAGAACAATCTCAAAGCCACACCTAAGTCACAAGGCTTTGTCTCCACTTTCGAAGGTTCGGAGAACAAAGCTGGCTGTTCTTATTATGATGGAAACTCGGATTCGAAGGGGTTTGGTCAACGATCTTGATGCAGCTTGCGCCCATTTCGAGAGACCGAATGTCCGCTGGCCGAAGCGGTTGAACGAAACCTTGATGAACCACATGGCATTCATGCTGGACCTAGATGGGTATTGGATTGAGCTGTTGCAGAATGAGACGTTGAAACCTAGAGCTCGCTAGCGAAGATGTAGTTTGGACTCCAGAAGCCTGCTAATGCTTCTCAGGTAATTGTTTAGTAAGCGTTGGATTTTCTGGGGAAACAATGTTCTGGCCAACCTTTGCGCATGGCACCAAGTTCGGAACAAACCCCTAAACACATGCAGTGTTGTTGAAGGTGAGCATTTATCCCTTCCAATGTTGAGGGACGAAATTATGTGTGGAGGAAGTTGATCAAATTCGTGTCAGATTTGTAAAATTCAAAGATACAATCCTTAATCTATGTCAATGCCCAAGATACTCTCTTTCACAGACCTCAACTTCTCAAACGGCTGGTCAACCATATTTGCACACCTCTATGCAATAAAATGATCGGGTCGAACGAGAATAGCTCCATCCTCATCCACCTCACGTATTTTAGGCCAGTCACGATACATATCAGCGTAGTCTTGCCGATAGCCGATAGAGAATGCATTCAAGATCAACTTACTTCTGTGGGTAAGCTCTGCAGCAGTGACTTTCCACTTGTCGCCTCCGATGCCCGTAAGCAGCGTGAACACGCCATGTCCAGCAAGATCAAGGGTAGACAGGCGCTCTTTCTTACCTGGCTCGCAGAGCCAAATATGGGGGAGGTGGTATCCTGGGAAAGTCGAGACCAGCAGATGTTTGATGGGATTTGGGTCCGCAAAAGTGGGATGGATGTCAACATTTTCGATTTTGGTCAATGCCGAATTCACGTAGCTTTGATTCATTTGAATTCCTAACGCCTGGACCTCATTGGTGATCTTTTCAATGGCAGCGTCCAAATTTTGTCGTAAACTTTTGCCATCTGCAGATGCTTGAGCTCGAACTTCGAAGAAGCGGTCTTGTTCCTCTTTGACGAGACCGATAACCTGCCATAGATCTCTGTGAGCGACCATGCCTTCGTTGGCTCGGCGGACAACACCAACTGCCACAGGTTTTCTATCTGGGGTGATTGTGTCTAGGATTGCCGAAGAAGCCTGGCCTTTAAGGACGTATGCTAATTTCCATGCAATATTGAAAGCGTCGGAAATGCAGGTGTTGCTCCCCAGACCGTTGATAGGTGGATGGCGGTGCGTGGCATCGCCAAAGCATATAACGTTGCCCTACTGCCACGATTCAGCCACCTGATCGTTAATCGTCCACCTAGAAGCACGAACACGTGTTATCTTGTCTGAGAATTACCGCAGCAAGGGGCAATGGACATTTTCTTACCTGAAACATGACTTGATTTTAATAGGCACTGTGCTGCCACCGATCATTTGGTGGAGCCTTGCTAAAATGTCTTCGTCCGAGGGTTCGAAAGCTTCGTCTGCACCGTTGAGTAAAGGATGCATGGAGACAACCCATTCGTTCCAAGGCCTGATTGTCCTAGAATTCCCTACGGCTGACCATGCTGGCGCATCGGAATTCAATATCTAACTCAAGCCGCCGGGACGAGCTTTGAAGTAGTTGGAGAGATCTGATTCGATGTGGACGTTGAAAGCATTGTTGAGTTGCTTTCCAATGATAGGGATGCCGGTACTGGCAAAAACGGCACTTCTCGCTCCGTCGCAACCAAGAAGATATCGAGAAAGAACATGAAACTTGTCACCGGAAGCTCGATTGCGCACAGTTGCTCTGATTCGCCCACCGTCGATGGGCTCTTGAGCCACAAATTCAGTATTGAACCGGAACTCGGCACCTGATTCGGTTGCTGCTTCCACCAAGATGGGCTCTAGGACGCTTTGAGGTACATCAGTCATCGAGCAAGGGCTTGCCCTTTGATAATCTCCTTTTTGCTGGTGGTCATTTCCCCAGGAGTACAACCGAGCGATTTCTTCCCCTGCAAGCGAACATTGCCAGGTCGTATGCATCATGTATTCGCCCGAAGTGGCTACACTCAATGCTTTGTCTTCTAATGCCGCATCTCTGAGGACCTCCATTGGCCTCTGATTGAAGATATGGGCTCGCGGAGTATTTGCTGTTGTCTTGTGTGGGAAATGACAAGCGAGGATATCCCATACCGGCCTAGGAGCAGCGCACCGGTGGCTCCTGCAGGGCCTGCGCCCACTATCAGTACAGCGACATGGACTTCTATTGGATTCATGAGTTTCAGGTTCTTGATAGCTTAATGTGAGGGGCAAATCATATACCAGGATGTTGAGTTCTCGCCATTTGGATGACCTTGAATCCGCTGTCTCACTAACACTACTAATTGTCAAGATTATGGTGAAGGTTGACCGAGGTTATGGCCAGATCGTTATGCAGAACAGAAAACTTATGGTGCGGAAAGATAATTGCTGGCATCTCGGGTAAAGTGGCCTGGCCTGGCGTCAATGAGCCGCTCCGTTCCGCAAACTGGTTCGGCTTCTGGACCGCCAGAAAAAGACGCTGTGATGGCAAGGTTTTATCTGAAACTGGTGCATTTGAAATGAATATTTTCCTCACAAAAGGATGGGTGACGCAGGACTCCTCTCAGTATGACTATTTCGCTGATGCAGTTGGAATAGTCTACACCAAATTGCCTTCAACCACTTGAGGACCAACGTGATTGAATTTCGACTAGGGAATGCAGAGGTCCAAAATGTTTCGAATCAAGTTACACTTTTGACAGGTTCCCTCAACCCGATCGGTCTTTCTGCAGATAGAAAGACATTGGACGCGTGACCTGTTGAAAGGCATAGTTTGACCATCGCTTTGACTTCGTAAACGGATGAGGCAGAATCTGACGACTTTGTAATTGACCCACATTTCCTGAGGTTGTTGTATGGCGCCCGTTTCTTAGCCTCCACGGAAGAATTTGCGGGGCACAGGCCCACGGCGCATGATTGATTTTAAGCACTCTTCCGCAATCCAAACTGTTTTTAGAGATCGGAACATGAATAGACAGTTAATCTGCGCAGCAGCGGTCGAACCCAGGAACATAACACGCTGATGCGGTCATTTAGGCGATCTGAAGTCGAGATCGAACAAATGGACCGAAGAGTCGAGGTCCTTGAATCCCTTCTTTCCCGTTCCGCAGCCCAAACGTAACACCCACATTTTCCCCTCCTCTTGCTCTTGAACTGGCTTCTGTTGGCCGTCCTGCAAAACAGTCCAGAAGTGACGTCCAGTTTCCAGACTAACATCAGTTTGGGAAGCCTCTCATTCTCTCACATTCCACGAAATGCAAATGGCATCTTTAGAAAGCAAAGACTACTGCTCAGGCAAAATGCTGGCCATTAGTGTTGGATTCGTTCACAAGGAAAGGTCAGACATCATCAAGCTCATGGTCTCACCATGTATCGACCTTCCACCGGCAGGCAAAACTACTGGTCGACCCGGAACTGGAGAGGGGTGGTAGACGTCGATCAATTCAAGCGTTATTACTTCCTAGTGACTTCGAATGCGGCGCTGGAAGAGACATGATGAGCTGGATGTATGCTGGCATGGCATATCGCTTGTTCTTCGACCTAGGGCTCAACATAGGCAGCATTTTACTCGGTCTCAGCACCTAGGGGACCGAGGTTCGCGAGAAACTTTCTATTGCGTGTGAGATGTTTGACGAGGAAGGCTCGAAGTCGGCTAGTTCAATTGACGAGCAAATGGCATACTGATCAAGTTTCAGATGCTGGCCACTCTTCTTCGTCCGTCCGATCTGTGTGAAAAAGAGTGACTTGAAAGGCGCAAACTCATTCAGTTCGATCCTATGCTGGACCAGTCCTAGTAGTAACGGCCAGAAAATATCACAACAGCAAATTATCTATGACTCAGCCAAGTCGCTTATGAATATTGCCAGTAAGGTCAGTGACAGCCATACGAGTCGGACAAGTGATGTCAACACATCCTCCAACATGGCAATGCTGGTTCTGCTTGGAGAGATCGAAATGAACTGGGAGCCAGAAAACGTCCAGAAGGTGATAGCGAATTTCTTCCTCCTTCAGGAAGGTCCCGATCCTCAAACTGAACCAAACCGTACAAAGATGCCGTCATGCAATGATCCAGTCCGTCAAACTGACAATCTATCCAAGTCAGCAGTACCACGCCATTCGAACCATGCTGTATCGGCCTTTTATAGGTCAGTCTAACCCACACAACAGCGGCCTTCAATACATTTAGAACACCCAAGAACCTCGTGCCGTCAACTCCTACGACCTTTGTCTAGAGGGTGGGCTCCAATTGGCGAAGATATTCGAAGTGTCACGATCCTGATTCAATCGTCGAAGGAGCTTCATTACCGCCATGCCGCATGCCGGCGCTGGCATAACAGCACTGATCGAGGTGATTACCCGCTCTCAACTTGCTGAGCAGCGTCGAGAAGTCATTCGTCGTCTCTTGAGTTTGAAATCGGCACTTTCTGAGCTTGGGCATGTTTACTGTATCACCATGCAGGACTAGTCGCGAGCGATGCAGTTAAGAGTGACCAAGGGATTTTGCCAGTGCGGGATTGTGGGCGCGGCTACTCCTACTAGTACGGTACATTGTATCTCTTACTGAGTGCTGAATAATCAAGGTGTATTGGATGAGGCGTCAGTTGACCGAACTACTAGGACTATGGCTCGAATTACTGCCTGGTCCTTCCTCAACGAAAGTGTTACAGCCATAGATACTGTATGCTCCTGGCAACCATGCTTCTTCCAAGACGACTTACGGCATTTTGGCCATGACTTCGTGGGTGGGTACTGTACTGTAAGACACCCATTACTAGTAGCATTACCACCGCCTCTCTGAAACTTTTCCACACCAGCCAGAGGGATGCATCGGAGATGCTCTCTTACTACCTTCAATTTGCAAAACCGCTGCAATCTTTCGTTGCAAGGAGGTTCGGAAATGAATTCTGGAGTGGAGCATCTTCAGCCGGTGATTTCTGTTCGCGGTGGGGTACTTCCTGCCACCAACCAATTCGCACAGGGCCACTGCTCCACGCTATAGCTTTCACTTGTTATACTGACTACTTGTACCACCGTGGGTTCTCATCGACTAGAAATCCACGATATCACACCCCTCGCGGGCTTCGAAGCGTACGGTCAAGACTTAGAGACATCCGTTAACTGTTACAGCGGAGTAGTCGTTTCCCAGGAATGCCTCAGTGAGCGACATTGACCCACTGAATTCCCTAATATCCGCACTCCGCTAGAGTCACTGTACAGTACGTATTTGCCTGGTAGCGTTTCGATCTATCCGTTCTTGGGAGACCTCGATGTTTGAGTTCAATTGAGATCTCCGTGGTCCGGAATCGTACGATGATCAACTCACCATCGGCTCATATAAGAGATGGTTGGCTCGCCACCTCGCTTCCCTGCCGGCCTGTTCGTGTTTTGCCCAGAACTGTACTTCAAGTGGCGACATCTTTGCTTGCAACTCCCGCGGTAAATTTTCAGTAAAGCTCCTCCATAATCTCAAGGCGCTGCTTCATCGAGCTTGTCTCAGGAACGTTGAACAACATCTATCATCTAGGTCTCTTAAATCCCTACATTAAGGGGCCAACAACACAAGCTGCGATATTCACATGGCATCATTTCTCATTACTACAACCGTCAAAACGAGGCTCCGCTCTAGAGGTTGAACGGCCTTGTTGCTGTTGGAATTTGAAATTGCCTCTCAGAATCATTGCCACAAGAACATTAACAAAATACAAAATACCTAACTAGTGTATAAGACGATAGATATGTATAGAGTTTGATACCGGGCCAATCCGTTCTATAAGCCCCACGATAACTCCGGTGTACAATGAACATCACATCTCCGGAATTCAGAGCTGTCTATTCAGCCTTCTTCGTCGCTCTTGTCCTCAGCTTCATCATCCCATACACCAAAGCGTAGCTGCTGATGACGAAAATCACCACAATCGCGTTGTCTCTCCAACCGTAGTAGTAATCCTTCAAGTTAATGTTGTAAAGGTAGTCACTACCACGGCCGTATTGACAGACGCGGCATCCACTAGTCGCACCTGGGCTTGTGAGATTCATCCTGAACCCCATACCATGCATGAAGTCAGGCAGATATTGTTGGCATGTTTGTCCATCGGGTGTGTCAAAAATAGCGAACTCCGGCTCCTTGCAGACAAACAACCCACCCATGAGATAGGAGAAGGGGTTGAGATAATAGAGCCAATACCGCCAGAATGTTTGAATTTGGGCGTAAGGGACTAAGACACCGCAGAATGAAACCAGGACGCCAATCAACGGCGGGTTGACCTACGAGGCAAACACGGCATTGGGTGCATAGGCCGCGACGAATTGGCCGATACCTGTGTACAGGAATTCGTACATCAACATAACAAAGAAGACCGCGCCGGCTTTGTTCGAAGCTGACGGCAGACCTGCAGTGTAGTAATAGCAGACATAGTACAAGACTGCACAGACACCAAGATAAGGCAGTTCCGAGACGATGAGGCCAGTAACGAAAGGTGCCCAGTGGTACATCTTGCTCTTCTTCTCCCGCGCTTCATACAGATCTCTGCGCTCAATGGAAAGAGGTTGAAGCTGCACGATCACGCCGGGAGCCACGAAGACAAAAAGAAAACTGGACGAACAGGGTAAGCGGCAAGTCGGCGACGGACTTCCCAATCATCCAAAAAGTAAAACCGCTGGAGAGTGCCACGCAAACATGAAGTGCGACTTTGTTGGTCGTGTAGTCGTTGTTACGATACAAAGAAACGTTCATGCGATGCGTAACTAGCTTGATCTGTTCCCATAGGGGAATGGCAAACTTGTGGCCATCAACAACAGTTCCCGGAGGTTTCGAAGCGGCATATTCCACAATGTGATCAAGCTCTTGGATCATCGCAGTGTACTCAGGAGGCTTAAGCCAGACGTCGTTCCAGTCTCTGCCCTTTGACAGAGATCCAGATACAACATCAATCATATGTTCGGCAGGATTTGCATCGGGAGAACAAGGCGCACCGTTGCGACCAAAATAATCCTTGATGTTAATGGCATTGTCACCAATCTCTCCAACATAGACTGTCTTTCCGCCTTTGGCCAGCAGTAAGAGAGTGTCGAACCGAGCAAAGTGCTGCGCGGATGGCTGATGGATGGTGCAGAGAACAGCTTGACCACCAGCAGCGAGCTTTTTGAGGAATCGCAACGTGTTGAAAGCAGCTTGGCCGTAGCCCCGAGGTGGGTTCATCAAGGAAGATGAGGATGTTGGGCTTAGGGACCAACTCAACCCCGATCGTAACGCGCTTACGCTGTTCAACCAAGAGACCGGCACCAACCCGACCGATGAGCGAGTTCTCAAGGTCATGTAACTCAGGCAGGTCAATCACCGTGTCAACGTACCTTAGCTTTTCTTCGGTGGGGACATCTCGAGGTTGGCGAAGGAGTGCAGAAAATTCCAAAGCCTCGCGCACCGTCGAGTAGGCCTCGTGAACATCAAGCTGCTCGCGATAGCCGGCCGAGCGCTGAAACGATACCAGAAGCTCCCTACCGTCCACCAGAACGCTGCCCTAGATTCTACCTTCGGTTTTTCGTTGCGCGAGGACGTCCATTAGCGTGCTTTCCCAGCACCAGATGAACCCATCAGCGCTCCTGATTTGCCAGGCTTGATCCAGCCATGCTCATTGTCGAGTAGTTGACGTTCACCAGTGGGCGTGTTGACAGTATAACACAGATTCTTCCAGGTAAAAGCTGACTTATTTCTCATTAGACCATCTGCTTGATCGTTTGGGCCTTTCTCAGCGGTATGCTGCTCTTCAGTCCTCGCGGAACTTGCGCTGCTCTCCTGCATCTTTTCTGGGAGTCGAGATTCTTCGTCTTGGCTGAGAAGTTTGCTTTTAGACTTGTACTCACGAGGGACAAGAAGCACTCCTCCGCCACTGGTGAACTTCCATCTACTAGTGGAAAACACCGTTGAAAACGCGAACAGCGCCCACCACGCCAGACGATTCCGAGGTTTCTCCACAGATGAGAGTGCGAGTACGACAGAGAATCGAGATATTGGTCGCCAGTGACAAAGTTGGCACCTGGCAGGGCACCACCTATTCCAGTGCAAGCCGCGTATGTAGTGTCATACCCTGTTCCACTAGGTCATGCATGGTATATGCCGGAGATGGAATTCATTGGCAGCCAGGCTTTCAAGACCGTATGCCATGGGATTGATCCAATAGATCCAGACAAACCATGGGTGCATGTGAGGCTTCGGGATTTCGTAGCCAATGTAGGTGACAAGCGCTGCTACGGCGAGCCCAGATACTTTGGACGCGGCGTCGAAGGTGTTGAAAGCGGCTCCGACCAACCGGAAGAATGCCGTCATGCATATGTTGACCGAGTAGACGAGGAGCCAAAAAAATAAAAAATGCGCCTGCTGTCGCTTTCAAGGCAACCATCCAGTATAGTATCACAGAGAAGCAGGTGACTTGAACGAAGAGGATCGGGAGGTCCGCCGTTATCTGCGCAATGCAGAAGGCCGCCGGGTGGTAGAAGGCAAACTGTTTGTGCTTGGCAAGCACAGGTCTTCCAGTAAACGAGTCTGTTGTCTCGCTCATGGCGACGAGAGCGTTATACAGCAAGGCAAAGAAGAGAGCCCCGCCGAGTTGTTCGGAGCGTTGTAGAAGAGGGACCCTGCGATGAAAGCTTGGACTATGGAAGTGATCTGTTTGATGGCGGACGTAGCTTTGTCGCCCCATATAATCTGATATTGTCGAACGATACAGGTCATGACTTGGGCGGCGAGCGACGCTGTTCTCTTTTGCGACAGCAGTATCCGGATAATTGTATTCAGCTTGCATCCGTTTCCTGGTCTCTGAGTTGTCATAAATCTTCTGAATCGCTGATCCTGTCCTCGGAAAGTGCTCGAACTCTTGCTTAACCACTCTGTCCGTTGGGGCCGTTACACCAGTGAGAAAGTCGCCAACGTTGGCCGAGTCTTCACAGATAAAACTCAGCCCTTCCATGAACGGTCGTGATTCTCCCCTTAGGACCGTAATATATCTCCTTGCCCTCGTCCAAGATCAGGACTTTGTCAAAGAGACTGAAGATCCCGTTTCCGGCTTGGTAGAGTCACAACTGTAGTAAGACCCAGAACGTCTGTCATGGCCCTAATAGCTTTTGTCCACTCAAGTGCAGTACTGGCGTCAAGACCTCGCGTGCTATTGTCCCTACAATAGACACTTCCACGGGTGGCCAAAGTTTCAATGATCGAGACACGCTTACACTCGCCACCAGACACACCGCGTACATATTCATTGCCAACCTTTGTATCGTGGGTGTGTTCGATACCCATTGACCGAAGAAGGAAGTATTTGAACCCCTTGTTAAAGTCTAGTGGACTATGGAGATCTTGAGCCCGTTGAGCGGAAATCTTCATCCGTGTAGCAAAATCCATGGTCTGTCCGACCGTCAACGACGGGAAATGGAGTTCTTCTTCGGCATTCATGACGATCTGGCTTCGATATTTCTTCGATTCTGTGTAGTTCACGGAGCCATAGAAAATATCGCCTTCAATTGCTGCGTAACCGTGCCGGCGATTGGCAAAGCACGTTGAGAAGTGTCGTGCATCCTGAGCCGGGCCGGCAAACTACCAGCAGCATCTCGCCAGGCTTCACGCAACCGTGACTGTTACTGAGGATGGTCTTCCTCTGAATGCTTAGTTTCTTCTGTTTGGAGTCTGATAACTGAGCCGCGATGTTGAAGAGGGGCATAATATTTTCGTGGACAACTGTGCCTGCGCCTTCACCATAGACATTCAGATTTCTCGACGTAAGCCTGAGCTTGCGTGGCTTGAGGCCGCTCGCCACATCTTGATTGTTCCAATGCTTGACTTCACCGGTGATATTCCATGTGGCATCATACGGATCATTTTCGGTGTAATCCTCATCGATATCGTATGTTTCTCTGTCGTCCTCGTGTGTAGAGTACGTCGACTGACGTGTCACTGTCTGCCACAAGAATCCTCCATGCTGCGCTTGAACTCGAGGTGCTGAGGATGTGGACGCCCGCGAGGCGTTCGACTTTAATCGCTCCATGTTGGGTTGTGATCTCTGAATTCGAACGCTACGAGCAGGATCCTGCGGAAGAGGACGACGATGCAGAAAGTGAGAACTACATCACGACATTCCAGAGATATATGCGATCTTGACCGAGCCGGCTGCTCCTAGAAGCTGATCATGAAGTGTCTCAGATCGTACATTATTCCAGTCGAACAACAAAATATCGACCTGTGTTTCGGGCCTGTGCGGCATGTTATCTTTGAGAGTGGGATGAGGACGCGGTGGATGCATTCGCCATTTGTCTACGGAGTACTCCGTATGTACATCACAGATACTGTATGTAGTTGACGGGCAATGGTATGAACTCTTCTGTTGGCATTCGGTCCACAAGAAATTCCGATGCCGCTTAATAACAAGCCTTTTGCGCCATCGGTAGTGTCAATCGCCGACTCCGCTTCATTTAATTGGTCTTGATGAGAGACATCGCCCTCGGAAGATCATGAACCCGATTTCCTTCCAACTCTGCTTATGTCAGCGAGAGTAGTTTTTCTCTCGTGGTTGGGACGTGTTTGCTGATCATTCTTCAACTCAGATTCTCTAAGGCCGTGTCGTGATGACGACCAATGTATTGAACTAGGTCTACTTGGGGCTCAGGTTGGGACCTGATCTGCATTCGTGTTTGTAAGACTTGACTCCTTTATTCTCATTTAAAACCGGCCAGAGAACCACGGTGGTAAATATTGTATCAACGCTAGCCGTTACAGCCCATTTCTTTGATCAATTGTTCCGTTACTAACACTCTTTTTCTCTGCGGCCACCAAAATCTTCCGCCACTCCAAATCGCCGATGAAATTTCTGGATTCTTGCCTTCTCTCTGGTTTGGATGCCTACATACGCGTAACTGCCGCCGGGTTCAGCGTTCATACGCACTTCCATCCTTGCTAGATGCATGCCGCGTTCAATATTGCGGACCTCCGGCTCACTCCTCACCTTACCTGTGACGCTCACCTGGGTTCCCGGAGCGTCAGGTCCCGCCCATCCTATGAATCCACAACCGGGATCACCGCTGGTGAACATCCGCTCGCCCGCATTCGGCAGTGGTGGCACTCGAGCTACGCGAGTACGTCTCCGTGCATGTGATGCATGCCATCATAGAAAGGTAAAGATAGATCAATTACAAGAACATGGCCTCTCTACTTGTGGTCTTACAGTACAGGACATTGCTGAGGTCTGAAGATCAAGTGTGATAGTACCACAGTCCCATGTGACTGGTGTCGACATCACAATATTATTTGTGAGATCAAAAGGGCATGTGGCCCCAGACGGAAAGAGAAGCGATCAGAGTGAGAAGGCTCATCATAGGCATTCAATGCCATTCATGTTACTAACATCAGGTCGTAACAACAGACTCGGCGAGTCTAGCCTCGTTCAGCGTCTTGAACGAATGGAAGACATCTTGATCAAGAATTTGAAAATGCGAACCTGTACGTCTTCTCTCCGTAGGGGTAGATGCAGAGCTGACCTTTGCAATAGGGCCGGTCCCGCAAGTTACCTGCAATCCGGAGCCAGCAGAACAGTTCCATCAACGTGGGCCCGATAACTCAACTCCCGCTCTGATATACCTGGCGTCCTATAAACTCGGGGACATCAACCTTTTTCATGGCGTGCCTTTTCTATCACGTGGGGGTCAGAGATGGATTGTCGTTCGAAGTGAAGAAGATAGGTTGGAGACGAACAACTATAATGTCCCTGGCCCTCTGTGGCTGAATCAAGATCACGACTATCGCCCTGAATCTCTCCTCCGTCTAACGCTTACAGATCTGCCCCCTCGCTACGTTCTAGAACGCTCTTTGGAGAAACATCAAAGCTCAGAGTTTGCCGATGCGTTCCCGTTGATCGACTCTTCGCTGTTTGCCACCACTATGGAAGAAGCGTACAATAATCCAGGCTCGTATGAAGCATTGCCAGCAAAAGCATCTATATTTGCTTATTTGGCCTTGGCGTATTTGGTCGGCGACTCCGGAGATGAGCCTGCAACTTCTCTGAATGTTGAGCGATACGACATTGCCTGCCAATTACTCATACCTGACCTCTTCAGTGCAAGGGCTAGCAGCAAGGTTGTCGATGCACTTATGATGATGGTAAGATCTTGATCCCCCAGTGTGGCATCAGACTCCATGCGATCTCGTCTAATGTGACTACTCCTCTTGGAAATGTTAACTTGTCTCTTTGACATTTAGGGGGTCTACCAGTTCACATGCGGTAATATCCACAGAACAGACATCATCATATCCCTTGCGTCTAAATCTTTGTTCATGCTGGGCGCTCACTTATATCCTGGCCTTGAGATCGATGGCGCGCCGAGTGGATCTTTGAATCTCGAAGCGCGCAAAAGGCTCCATCGACGGGATCTATTTTGGATCTGCTACACATTAGACAAAGAGATCACATTCCGTACCGGGCGACCACCTATCATCAACGACACCTCATGCGATCTCACCTTTCCAGTGTATTACTTGAATCAGATATCTCGCGGTCATGACGGAAGATGGCGACTTCCAGGCGACCTCCGCCTTAGTATGATCAAATCAAAGGCTTACGAAAAGCTCTATTCGCCCCAGTCTTCACATAATTCTGACAGCGACATATTGAAAAACATCCGAGAGCTTGACAATATGCTGGAGGTCTGGAGATTGTCACTTCCAGTCCGTTGCAGACCAACACTCTCATCATTTCCTAAAAGGGCATCAGCTCGGCCAGAGGATACGCCAAGGAATATTTCAGCTTTCGTTATTCGGCTGGAGTACTATCACTGCGTGACGACAATTCACCAAGCGAGTAGTCGATGCAAGAACTGGAGTCATAAGCACCGAGTCGAGGAAGGCCTGCGTTCAAGCATAGATGTCGCGCTAAGAAGTAGTCGCTGCCAGCTATCCAACCTGCATCTTGGTGAGCCCTTTTTCATTCCCAAACACTTCTGGTATGTCCACTTTCGGTCTTTTCCCCATTTCTAGGTTTCCAGTACCCGTGAGCAATAGGAGTAAACCTCTCTTTTACTCTCGTGGGATTGTAATATCACCACTAATGTTTCCTCTTCCCTCCAGGGTTGTCCTCTTTTATCCCATGTCTGCGGTATTGACTCTTCTGTCACCTCTTACTCGACCCATCGGCGGAAACAGCGGTGTCAGATGCTCAAATCTTGAAAGGTTGCTTATCGTGTATTGAAGACCATCTTACTTCAACAAGGTTCCATGAGCTCTCTGAGCTGCAAAAATTACACATGAGGCGCGTCTACAAGGCAATCGTAGAAGTTGTCCATTCTGCCGAAAAAGCCACTTTCCAAAGCAGTCAATCGCAAAACTCGAGCACTCCTGAACAAACTTGAACGAATACCACGTGATGCGCGAACAGAGTGATCCAATCAGTGGCCAAAACGATGTGGTAGCTGAGACAGCGTGGCCGAAGAGCGCCCTAGGTCGTGGCGGCCAGGAGTTTTTTTTTTCCTAGAATTCCACCCCTGGCCTGTGGAGCAAACACAGGACCTCTGTCTACCTACATCTTATGCCCGAACTGGCGGTCGGTACCAGGTTATTGACGGCAGTCCAAATGGGCCAGAGTATATAGCTTAATCCGATGTTATCGGTCAGAAGGCCAATTATCAATAAAATGGTCCAGATATAACTAGAAGACTACCGCTCACATGTCCAGCACTTTGTTCTCTATCTGAAATCTATGGGCATCAAAAGGGTTAAGCTGTCTCAAATGTGCCTACAAGACTGACCAAGGACAAACAGTGCGATGGTGGGCGTCCAAGCTGCATGCGATGTACTGAAACGAAGGCTATGTGTGTATACGAAGAAACGATTGTTCGCAAGTCAAACTCCTCGTCCGGGTACGTGACCAAGACACCACGCTCCTATTCTCCCCAGGGATTCCAAGACCTAACTGGCGTTCAGGGAAAAATTTCAAGTCCTGGACCGGCTGAAAGCCATTGAGGAAAAGCTAGAACATGTCCAGTGGACTTACACACGCAACCCACCTCAGCTTCCTATCGAGCCTTCATCCATGCACAGGTGTCATTTACCGCATAATCCGTCTACCGGGCCCTCTATAAGTCCGCAAGAGGACATGCCTCCTTGCGACGTCTTCGAAGACTCCGTGGACGGTATTGGGACTATTCGCTCAAGCGACAGCCAGGATGATTCTGCACACTTCGGGGCATCGTCCAACATCGCTTTCCTGCTCCGCATCACCCAGGCTCTGGCCAATTCGGCTGGTTGCGGTAACTCAAGAGATCTGCTAAAACCTTATCATCGTTGTCCGTCTTCTGCTACGTCTTCGAACGTTCCTGGGCCTGAACCGGGCCTTTCCGGCGCCCTATCCTGGCCGAAATCTTGCCAAGCTACTATCCTTGATATTCCACCGGATGCCATGGACATAATACAGGAGTACTTTGCAACCGTGGCGCTGTTCATGCCCTTCTTGCATGAAGAATCATTCATTGCTGTTTTCGAGCGAGGGCGTACGCAATGTTTCAGGAACGTTCGAAAATCATGGCTGTCCTTGCTTTACATGATTTTGGCCCACGTCTACCTAACTCAGACAGCAATGTCCCCTAGCACAGAGTCAGCTGAACGTTCCGAAAACTTCTTCCAAAATGCCTTGGCTTTGGCGGTGCCGGAAGTCATCTTGGGCCCGACTAGCCTGGAACATGGTATGATACGCCCTACATCTGCCTAATCAGTCCCAGTGTTCTAATAACTTAACATCATGCAGTCCAACTCTTCTGTTCGATTTGTGCGTACCTGCAAGGCTCATCGCACTCTTCGCGTGTATGGACATTCCACGGCCTGGCTGTTAAGTCCGCCCTGCAGCTCGATCTGTGCTCCACTGAGTCTTGCTCTCATCTAACGCCTTTGGACCAAGAGATGCGGAGACGAACTTGGTATATGTGTCTCATAAACGATGCGTGGGTGACCTCCCATTCTCGCCTTATTCGTCTACCCTAAACTAATTTTTGGGGTCTAGGATATTTAGTGTCAAGTTTGGTCGACCACCCTTAGTGGCAGAGTCCTTGTGGAAGGCGAGCACCCCAAGCAAGATCACCGATTTACCTCCGTCCGTTGCCAGGAGCCCCTCGGTGATGGCTACGAGCCTGTCCTATTACCGGGCTATGTTGTAAATGACTCTTCACCGTTCCCCGGAAATATAGCACCACGAGCTGATCTCACGCTGAACAGATCACTGTCATTCATCATACGCGACATCACGAAGAGACTATACTATGATAATGTCGGATCCCCTCCACCCCTAAGCTGCGCTGAGACGTTGACGGAAACCTTTAATCTCTCATACAAACTTTCCGAGTGGCATGGGAATGTGCCTCGAGCTCTGCGTCCCGGCGAAGGACTTGAGAAGCAGTACACTAGACACCAGCCTCTCGAGACACGCAGACTCCAAGTGGCCCTGTCCTTTCGATACTCTGGTGCCTGTATCCTTCTTCATCGCCCAATATTACAGAAGCTTTGGGATTTCAATAGTGATTCAACCAGCCTGGAGCTGACTCTGCTCAAAGGGACAGGCTTTCTTTCTTTGAGAAGCTGTATGGATACTTGTAGAGACGCAATTCAAGTGGGAACAAGCATCGTCAAAGAGATCAATAGGCAAACGAATTTACTGGGAGCATGGTGGTTCACGACCTATTACAGTGAGTTTGTTCAATCCTTGCCTCTCCTAAGCCCGGGCTAATGAACCAAGCTTTCAATGCCTCCCTCATGATCTTGGGCGTCCTCCTGGCCTCAATGGAACCGTCCTTCAATGAATTGCTCTCGCTCAAAGCCACCACGTCTCTCCATTCTAGTCTGAATGACGCTGTTACACTATTGGCTCAACTTGACGGAGGCAGTCCAATGATCAAACAGTGTCGCGAATGTCTACAACGCTTGCTTAAAATATACTACTCAATCGCCCAAGCATCCATTACTGAAGACGGCAGTAACAAGAGAGAGCAAATTGAAGTCGACCAATTAACGTCGAGCTGTACCTCTAGCGGAGACATCGATCTGAGCTGGCTACCTCCGAAGGATTCCGGCTCTTTCACTCTAGGCCATGGGCCGGGTGTTACAGACACAGACCTCAATCTGTTTGAAGGCCTCTTCAGCTCCAACTTTGAGTTCCTGTACGGATAAGGCTAGTTGGGCTTTTTCTCGACGCCGCGACGAAAAATTGCCCGTCTGCCAGCATCAGTCCACATCGTTTCGTTTACACATCCTTCATTCTGCTACTGGAATTGCCTGTGGATGGCCATCAATATCGCTGCTATCCACCCAGTTTCCATGGAGTCCCGCCCGGAGACGAACAGGCAACTTTATCAGAGCAATCTGGGCCATTGTTCTTGTATCCATAATTACCATTTCACTGCACATTTCGTCATAGTTGTTCAGCAGTGCAATCAGGTAGCCGTCTCCCTCGAGAGCGTTGGGACTACGCGGCACGAAGACGCATTCTTGACAGAACTTCCGAGGACCCGCGAAATACTTTTTGTACTCTTTAGTATCGACATCGAAGGAAGCAAGGCCGTTGAACAACGGATACCCAGCTACAATCAAGCATCATTGATCAGCAGTCGACCATGTAACACCCAAGAGGGCTTGATGGAGGTGATCAGATCCGATGGATCTTACTTACCTCCCATACGAGGAAGGATAAACGGAAAATCCGTGCCGGCCGTCTTATCCATGACGCAAACAAAGATTCGCGAATGGCGAGCCATGGCTAAGCGATCGTCGATTCTGGGGAATTCGGTTTCTTCCTCCTTGATGAAATACTCGGGCATGCCGAGCTCCAGGTTGTCGCTCCTGTAGTCAATCTCAAACTTGCATAGGAGCGATTCGGTCTCCCCAGGCCTCGGGCCCTTCCCGTTCTTGTCTGGCCACCAGAAGAAGACATTGTCGGGTGCATATGTCATGTGAAGGTGAATCTTACCGTGCTCTTCGAACGCGTTGGCTGTGTGTCCGGCGAAACCAGGAGGTGCACGAAACCACTGACAGAGTTAGCGACTGTTTATTCGCCACGGGCCCCTCCAAGCTGAGCCGAGGGCTGAAGATGGTTTACCTTGACATCACTTCCCTTGGCTTGTCTCCGAGGCAGGACTCCAATGTACATGGGGATACTGTAGTCCCATTGCCAGTGCTCTCCACCATTCTTGAGGCGTTCCAGGTCGCATGTGAGGGAAATAATGGGAAAGAGGACCTATGAATATTCTGTTAGGACGACATTGGGAAGGCAAAGGGAAAGAAAACGCCAGTCTTACGTAGTTTTCCGTGACGGCGAAGTCATGGATCATGCCACAAATGGGAGAGACGAGCCACACTAGCTCTCCCAATTTCCCATCCTTGTCGAAGGTATAGTAACAGATGTCGTTCGTTGCGTCCCCCTGAGCCTCATAGCCAAAGCACACCATCTCACGACTGACTGGGTCAAACTTCGGATGGGCCGTGAAAGTTAGACAAGGCAATTGCCCGTCAAAGTCATACAGACCGAGGGTCTCGAGGGTATCGGGATCCATTGCATAGGGAGGTGAGTCTTCCTTGAGCGCTAGGAGTTTACCGTTCCAAAATACAATGTTGGTATTAGCCGTCGACCGGACTTTGAAGTCGACCAAATCTGTATATCTGTTTCTATACTTTCCTGTATGCGGGGTTAGCCCTCAGGTTATTTCCATCTCTTACGAGGGTAAAGGCCAACCTAGAAGAGCTCTCCTTGCCTTTGCTTCTCGTACAAACTTCTCGGTCCGAACATAGCGTTGCTTAAAATCAACGTGGCCGTTAGAGATGCGAAATGCGCTGATGTTACCGTCGCCGTTAAACCACTAACCTCGGTAAGTGATTGATCAGGCATCCCAGACAAATGCCAAGGTCCAAATAGAACGTACCACATCATTTCCAGTGAAGGAGGGAAATTGAGGCTCAGGCATCACCCGGTAGAATGTGCCATTGATTCCCTTTGGGATTTCCCCAAAAACTTCGAGATTGCCTATATCACCCTCGAATCTCGTTGGCCTATGAAAGCCTGCTACTTGGGGATCCTCCAGTGAGAAGTGTGCGGGTGCCGGTGGCCATTCGTCTTGGTGATTCGAACATCCAGTTGAACCTCCAGTTGAACCATTGAGTCCCTTGGGCTTTAAAGCTTCCTTGAAATGGCCTGCCATGGAGCTGTCCGTTGGCCTGATACTTGGCACCTGGCTCAGAAGCTGAGGAGAATGTCTTCGGACGAGGTACTTCGGAAAGTCTGCTTTCGACGCCACCGCTGCTATTTGGCTAGTCTACCATCTGGCTTCGGAAAGGCTCCGACTTGAGCGGACCAATGAAACAGGCTCGGGGGTACCGGCAGGGATGAAGAATAACAA